GATCAGAGGAAGAGTCGATGATGTCGGTAGCTCACTAGAGGAAGGCAAGACATGAGAGGAGGTGACTTGTATTTCCACAGAAAAAGACGAGCAGATGGACATCTTGAGTCACTTGGCCTAAGATGACGCAAAAAGGGTTAGTTGCACATCTTTGAGACGATGCAGGATTGACCTAATATCAAAGCTGCCACCACAGACGCTCAAGCTTCAAGGCCGATATACTTTGAAAAAAGGCATTGGTGAGTCGGAGGCGCGAGTTGAAGAAGAACGAGATAGTATACTGTATCGGAGTCGTTCGCATTCCATTATGTAGTATCGAACTTGACAGGAATAACATATGACGCCAGATATGCGCTCATCGCAGTGGACCCAAGTAAGTTGCAACTTGAAGTAAGTCAAGCCCTTTACGGTTGCCTGAAAGCTGCCCAGTGAGCGATGATGAAAGTAATTCGGCAACTTCCGCTCAACCAGAATTCAACTTCAAGTGCTCATACTACTCACAATACTCAACGCAAGAAGTAATCGATAATCTCTCTCCGGCTTGAAACTCGCGATACAAAGGCGACTAGAAACTTCAAGCCTTCAATCTGGCTTCATGTTTGGAATCACCGGGACCAGGACAGCCTCAAAATCCTTGAAAATTGTAGCTCGAAGCCACCACATCGCCTCAAAGAGTGTGAAAGACAAACTGCGAGCCCTTCTACGCGAAACTGCGAGCCCGTCGCCGTCGTCACGTCCTTCATGCAACCCGACTACTCCAGTATCTCGCACACCTTTCATAGCGCGACTTGTCGTCATTCACGTCCATAGCAATGGACCCATACCCCCTCATTGCATTTGCCCTGCGCATGCCTTCTCGAATGGCATATTTGCTTGACGCAGCACAGCCAGACCAAGCATCCCACATGGTTGTGAACTTGCTCTCTGCGGAGCAAGCCTCCATTTCTGTCAAATTTCAAGACCGGACTTGTACCCAGAACCATTCTCTTCGATACCTTATTCGCTTTCGGAGGAGGGTCTGCCGATAATCGATGATTCGTTGGGGGCGATATCTTGTAAACTGGTTTCAAAGGCCATCCCCCTACACGACTTGGAATTGTTGGAGGGGTAGAGCAGAGAGGAAATGATGAATTCCCCGCTCGAAGATTGTCCGTCTTCAAAGCTCTTCATTGCACGTGTCACACGTGTCACACGTGTCGAGAGTTCGCCGAGCGACCACGATGGCAGTTTACCGTTGCTCTACCATCGACGACAATACACGAGTTGTCAAATACCACCTTGTTCGCCGGCTATGGACACATATATTTCTTTCTAGTAGATACACAAGGTGAGTTATATTTACATCTTTTCACATTTGAACTAAACATAAAGTACACTTCTGCCAGCGCTTCTCGTCGAATCGCCTACCACAGTAAGTCTGCTCTACCGCTGGACGAATTACTAGTGTCCCATTTCACATCTGAACACAATCAATGGACCGCTAGTCAGCTGATCGTCTATCTATATTGAAGCAAATTCATCCAACTATGACATGTAAGAGCGTCCTTAGTCTTTCGAAGACTCAAGTGGGTAGACGCTCGTTTCAACGATAGCTACGATGACGTCATCTACTTGGGATTAGGAGGAAGCACTTTGTTATTCATCCACCCTGTACGAGACTTCGAAAGAGTCGTATTACTCATATCCGAACCTCAGCCCAGATTCAGTCCCTGGGATATATTTTCCTGGGGTTGCCATCTTCAAAGACGGTCTTGATCACAATCGCGTGGGTCTGAGTGGCGCGTCGTCTCGGTCATCAGTGTTGCTGCCCCCTACGGACCGATACTTGAAGAAGATAAGCTAAGGTTCAAGAATGAATCAAACCTCTCAAAATAAGTATTGAAGGTTATAAGAGGTTATAATGTCAATACGCTTGTCAAACTGTCAGGTATATCATATCGTGGTCCTTATTCGACGGTGTTCCATGTGATGGTTGTGTGATCGTGCATTCAATTGCTGTAGCTAACTCACAACCAAGCTTCATGGCGATAGGACAACGATAAAAATGATATTTCAGGCGCACATTAAGTGCGTGGCTAGAGAATAGCACAACAACACAGAAAGAGAAAACGTGTGCTGGGCCGTTCAAACAAGATGTTTCTTCTGGTCACTCCCAAATTCATGTTGGCCAACGTAATAGGCTGTCCAGTTGAAACATTAGCCTGAGGGTATGCAGCAATAAATCCCAACGTGCCTTTTCCCGAAGTTGGGGAGAAACACGTGAGAATTGTTCCTTTATCGACGCGGGCAAGTCGCCAGGCTTCCAGACTGAGATGTCTCCACGTTTGCCATCATCTCCCATAGATATCTCGCTTACGGCTATTGTCAGTCCAACTTTTCCGTTGAATGCAGCAACACGCACCTTCGGTGACAATGATATATAAATTATATGGTAATTTGTGAGCCGTTGCTCCACTGTCGTGCTTGGTGATTGTCGCAATGCCAAAAGTGAAAGGGGGTCCACCATCTTCGTTGCCAAATATATCGCGGAGNTGGAGCCCGTTTTTTATATGTTGGAGAGTAGAAACGTTCGCCGATGCTTTCTTGGACACCTGCCAAAGAGCGTCAGAGATGTGTTGAACATAAGAATCGTTGCACCAACGGAGACAGGCATTGCAACCACAGTTCAGAGTGGGGGTCTTCTGATGAACGGCTTGTCACAGGATTTTATGCATTCGGATTCAAAATTGGGGTGCGTTATTTTGGCAGACATGTGGACGTCGCGACCCCAGAATGTGGTGTGTTAGGAGAGGATTGTTTGGTGACTGGTGCAGATTGAAACAGATAAGGACCAGCTGCACTGAAAATTTTAACTCAGCATCCCATGACCGTATCTTTTCGGAGTGTGCCCCCCAGACGGAATCGACCTTTTCAGGTACAGGTAAAAAGCCGTGCCACTCCCGTGCGTACCATGCAACGACATGAGAGGAGATCGATGAACGACGTCATGAAAAGCCTAATTGACGAATAACGTTATCAAGGTAAGTAATCCACCGCAGTTCCGGATCGACTGCGAGGGCGATAACGCAACTGCCTGAAGGACTGGAGGAGCAATGGCGCCTGGGAAGGTCAATTGCATCATTTGTAGCTTGTTTGATGCGGGAAATTGACCTATCGACGAAAAAAAAACCTGAGCACGTTGACGATGCAAGTCAGTTGTGTTGTTTCTTACAGTGGCTTTATGTGCACTACAGGAAGCTGACTTTCAGATGAGAGGAAGAGCCGATGACGTCGGTAGTTCACCGAAGGAACGCAAGATATCCGAGAAGGTGGCTTGTATTTCCACAATTGCAAGAAGGGAATCAGGCGAGCAGACGGACATCTTGAGTCACTTGGCCTAAGATGACGCAAGAAGGGTTAGTTACATATCTTTGAGACGATGCAGGATTGACCTACAATGAAAAAGACTTGATTCCCGTCGCTGGGAAACGAAGGGGGCCTAGGACCGAAAACAACATTGACAGCTCCGTTATTGCCAATGGTCACGGTGTTGAAGCTGCCACCAGAAACGGTCGAGGCGGAAATACTCAGAAAGAAAGGCATTGGTGGAGAGGCGCTGAAGAAGAACGAGATAATATCGTTCGCGTTCCATTACGTAGAATCTGAACTTGACAGGAATGACATAAGACGCCAGATATGCGCTCGTTGCAGTGGATAAGGTGAGAGCCTGGGTCAAGTCTTTTGCGGCCTGAAGGTTGCCTGAAAACCGCGATGTTGCAGCGAAAGCCAATCTGGAATTCGGCAACTTCCGCTCACCCATTGCGCCAAAACTCTGCTCTCTCAATTTGGGATCATAACACTTCAAATCGATCGTCTCTCTCTGGCTTGAAAGCCGTGAGACGAAGAGGACTATAAACTTCAAGCTTTGAAAGCTGCAAGCCTGGCCTTATGTTCGGACTCATTAGGACCAGGACAGCTTCAAAATCCCTAAAAAATGTAGCCCAAAGCCACCACATCGCCTCAACGAGTCTGAAAGACAAACTACGAGCCCTCCTACGCGAAACTGCACAGCCCGTCGCCGTCGTCACGTCCTTCATGCAACCCGACTCCCCCAGCACCTCGCACACCTTCCATGGCGCGACCTTGTCGTCATTCACGTCCATAGCGATGGACCCATACCCCTTCATTGCATTTGCCCTGCGCATGCCTTCTCGAATGGCATCTTCGCTTGACGCAGCCCAGCCAGACCAAGCATCTCACATGGTTGTGAACCTGCTCTCTGCAGAGCAAGCCTCCATTTCTGTCAAATTCTCAAGGCCGGACTTGTACCCAGAACCATTTTCCTCGATACCTTATTCGCTTTCGGAGGAGGGTCTGCCGATAATCGATGATTCGTTGGGGGCGATATCTTGTAAACTGGTTTCAAAGGCCATACCCCTACACGATTTAGAATTGTCGAGGGGAGAGAGCAGTGAGGAAATGATGAAGCCCCCGTTGGAAGATTGTCCGTCTTCAAAGCTCTTCATTGCACGTGTCACACGTGTCGAGAGTTCTCCGAGCGACCACGATGACAGTTTACCGTTGCTCTACCATCGACGACAATACACGAGTTGTCAAATACCACCCTTTCGCCGGCA